CCACACACACACACACACACACACACACACACACACACACACACACACACACACACACACACACACACACACACACACACACACACACATTGTGTTGTCGCATTGCTTCGCCATGTCCTCACGGTGTGCTTGCGCCGATGCTGCTTGTGCATTTGCCGCCTTTTTGACAGTCGTGCGGTTTGACCCGAAGATGCGGGACCTGGAGACGGTATCGCTGCACGCGTTTGAGGATACGGACACAAAGCTTGGCGGCTGGCACAGCGAGCAGCGGCTGCGCGTGTGCGTGGACCCTTTGCATCGGTGTGCGGCCCTGATGGTGTACGGATGCAAGCTCATCGTGATCTCCTTCAGCTCCGGAACTGCCACAGCAGCCCCGGAAGCAGACACCCAAGAGGACACGGAGTATGTGTGTGTGTGTGTGTGTGTATGTGCGTGTGTGTGTGTGTGTGTTTGTGCATGTGTGTGTATGTGTGTGTGTGCGTGTGTGTGTGCGTGTGTGTGTGCATGTGTGTGAGTGGTGTTTTTGCGGCCCGTGAGAGCTTTGCAGAAGCCCACATGCGAGGTTGTGCTTTCATGGCTGCTGCCCACCAGTGCATGTATCTGGTGCACAAGCCCACCTCACCTCACCTCACCAACACCCCCCCCCATCTTATCTGCGTTGCTCACTGCCCACACACCAGGCAATCGTTTACGAGCCGCGTCATCGACCTGCTGGTGAGCACACGCGCGCCCGTCCCGTGTTCGTGTCATGTGGAGTATCGTGCATTGTATGCAAGACGCTCGCTTCAACAGTTGGCTGTTGACCAAGTGTATTTGGTGTACTTCAACGGGACTGGGCTTCAAGCCCTCACATACACACATGTATCCACCACTGGCTCACAAACACGCACGCACGCACGCACGCACGCACGCACACACGCACGCACGCACGCGCACACCTATATACACACACACGCACACATAACACTCATATGCACACTCGCGGCTGCAGTCGCTGCCGAGCACCATTGGGCGGGTGGACGACATGGCGTTTCTCGACGGGTACGACGTGCCCTGCCTCGCCATCCTCCACCAGCCGCGACCAGCATGGGTCGGGTACGTAGGCAACAGAAGGGGGGAGGGGGAAGGTGTGTGTGTGTGTGTGTGTCTTGTGTGTGTGTGTGGCTTGTGTGTGTGTGTCTGTGTCTGTGTGTGTGTGTGTGTGTGTGTGTGTGTGTGTCTGTGTCTGTGTCTGTGTCTGTGTGGCTTGTGTGTGTGTTTTTTTTTTGTTCTTCTTCTTTTTTTTTTTTTTTGCCTGTGCCTGCCTGTATCACCACCTTCTTTACTGCTCCTTTGCTCGCGCCATTCGCCATGCCACGTTCTCGCTTCACCAACACCTTCCCTCCCCACCGTCACCGTCCATCGCGTCCACCATCACCGGGCAGTCACATGGCCAAGACGAAGGACACGGCGCACGTGACCGCGCTCAGCCTCGCCCTTGACGAGATGACAGCGAGGCGAGCGCCAACAGCACCCCCGCCACCACCGCCACCAGTCGTGTGGCACCAGGAGAACCTGCCGTCGGACACGTTTGCACTGCAGCCCGTGCCCGCACCGCTGGGGGGCGTGGTCGTCATTGGCGTGAACGTTCTCTTCTACGTCACGCAGGTGGGTTTGGGGGGGGGATGGTTTTTTTTTTTTTTTGGTTTGTTTTTTGTTTTTTGGAAAAGGATTGGTTGCATGTGCTTGTATTCAGCCATGTAGCACAAGGCATGCGTCATCTTGTTTCGTTTGGTTTCGTGGTGTTACATTGAACCACTCACCCCTGCTCCCTCTCGATCACCTTCGCCGCCACCTCCAGTCCCTGGTGCGCTCGCTCGCCCTCAACGGCTACTCCCGCGCCTCCACAAACGCCCCAATCCAGGAACAGGTCAGCATGCTTGACTGCAGCCTGTGCCGTGTGTGTGTGTGTGCCTGTGTGTGTGTATGCCTGTGTGTGTGTGCTTTTGCTCCACTGTTCCTCATGATGACAACGATGGCCACAATCATGCCAGACTGGGATCAGTCTTGATCTGGATGGCGCGCATCACGCGCTGTTGACGCCGACGCAGATCCTCTTCGCCCTCCCATCGGGCGACATCCACCTTCTCACCATTGTACGGCCGCGACACGCACGCACATGCACACACATACACATACACATACACATACACATACACATGTGTGTGTTGCCGCGCCTGATGGAGTTGGTGGCATGACCAGCTCCAAAACGGTGTGCCTGTGGTGACATGGCCGTTGCTTCACACACGCACACACACATGTATGCACACACACGCACACACACATATGTGCACACACACACGCAAACACATTCCCTCACACACACACACACGCACACGCACACACACACGCGCGCTCTCTCTCTCTCTCATACACACGCATACACCTCTCTCCCCCCCCCCCTGGCAGGTGTGCACTGACGTGACGGTTGACGGGTTGCGCATGGACAAGTTGGCAACGTCTGTGATTGGATCCGATATTTGCACCCTCGGCCGCCGGCACATCTTCATCGCCTCTCGACACGCGTACGCTTCAACAGCACACGAAGCCGCTTTCCCGTTACCGTCTGTGCGCACGTGTTCTTGTGTGTATGTGTGTGTGTGTGTGTTCTTGTGTGTGTGTGTGTTTGTGGCTTGATGGTTTCCGCTGATATCAATGCCGTTTGCACTGTTGCTGCATTTCCAACCAACTCATCTCCTCATGGATGACATGCCTCAATCAATACCTCACACCACCTCCAACACCGCCTTCCACACCACCACCCCTCCCCTCGACCCACGTGCTCTGTGCGAATGTGACATCATCACTGCGCAGCACATCGCTTCTGCTCGAGTGGGCGCCAATCCCGCTCTCTGCCACCACACACATCGACGTCTCGTAAGTCCTCGCCACCAGCCATTATCACGCCTGTGCTGGCACTTCTCATGCCATACACACACGCGCGCAGTGCGTGGAAGCACACGCTCACGCACTTACACGTACACACACCCGTGCATGCACACATACATACACACACGTTCATCAATGCACGTCTGTCCGCCCTTGCGTGTACATGTGTGTGCACGTGCATGTGTGTGTGTGTGTGCACAGGGGCGTGTCTGGGCGAGATGACGCTGGGCTGTACGGCACCTCGTCTGACTCCACCGCTGCGCTCAACACCAGCGCGAGTCGTGACGGCAGCAGCACTGGCGGCGATGACCTCGATGATGTGTACGGCGATGTTGTTGACGGCGGCACCACCGGCGCTCATGGTATCGGCAGTGGCGGTCGCGTCATGACGGTGAAGCTCATGGCCAGGGATGCCCTCCCCACCGTCGCTCCAATCAAGTCAACAGCCGTGGTCAGTGTCACGCGCGCGAGGCGTGTGTGTGTGTGTGTGTGTGTGTGTGTGTGTGTGTGTGTGTGTGTGTGTCTGTGTGTGTGTGTGTCTGTGTCTGTGTCTGTGTCTGTGTCTGTGTCTGTGTCTGTGTCTGTGTGTGCCTGTCTGTGTGCCTGTCTGTCTGTGTGTGTGTGTCTGTGGGATTGCTCCTTTTGTCTCTCCTATGTTCCTTGTGATAACTTCAACGGCCCATCCACCGCTATCGCCAGGGCACAAGTGCTCAGGGCGTGGTGCCGCACGCCGACCCGCGCTCCCAGTACGAGCTCGTCTCCTGCATCGGTCACGACAAGAACGGCGCCCTCGCAAACATCTCATACTCCCTCAAGCCACAGGTGCTGCCATTGTGTGTGTGTGTGTGTGTGTGTGTGTGTGTGTGTGTGTGTGTGTGTGTGTGTCTTCCTGGTCGTTGTGATGCTTTTACGCTTGCCTTTGCGCCTTCTCCGCCCCCCACCTCTGCAATTCGTTCACCCTGCACCGTGCCCATCACGTCGAACGCCATCGTGCGTGCTGCAGGTGCTGCTGACTGAGGACGCGCTGTCGTCCGTGAAAGACTGCTGGGCCGTCCACTCCAATAACTCCAAGCACCACACACACGTCGTCTTCAGCAAGGTGCTCCCATCATGCACACACTTACACACACACACACACTTATACACACACACACACACACACACACACACACACACACACACACACACACACACACACACACACACACACACACACACATGCAAATGTGATGGTGGTCATGAGAACTGGGGAACTGTGCGCGAGGGGGAGGGGCTTAGTTTTGACTTTCACTCGTGGCCGCTCATTGGTGCACTGAACCAACACCAAGCAACAGCATCACATTGTTCTTCGTCTCTCTCACATCACGTCGCCACCACTCGACCTTGCTTGCATGCAACGGCTGCCTGCATGCAAAACACTTGCCTGCACGCATTTGTGGCTCGACAGCCGAAGAAGACGATGGTGTTCCGGGTGGCGGGCGACTTTGAGCAGCTGCGGCACCCGCGCGGTTTCGACACGGAGGCCAGCACCGTCTTCGCAGGCAACGTCATGGGGTGAGGCCATCATGGCGCCAGTGATGATGGTGGCGGTGATGGTAATGGGGTGATGGTCGTGGTCGTCGTGGTCAGGATGATTCATCCTGCAAACACAGCTCACCAGCACACGCGCACATCCACCAACACGCATGCGCGCATACTTACACATACACACGTACAACAACACGCATGCACATGACGCCATCAACGCTGTACCCCTTCCCTCTCCCCCACTTGCTCGATGCTGCCCGTCAGGCGGCAGCTGGTGCTGCAGGTGACGGCGAAACACGTGATGCTGCTTGATGACCGGGACTGCGTGTTTGATGAGCGCATGAAGAAGGGCGTGCGCATCACAAAGGTCTCTGTCGCCGACCCGTACATCGCCCTTCTCCTCAACGACGCAACAACGAAGGCGAGTGATGCCACTGGCAGCTGCGGTGTTGGTTCATGTCGTGTTGGCAGCCGTGTTGGCAGCGATAGTGGTGGTGATTGAGAGTGTTGTGCGAGAGAGAGAGAGAGAGGCTGCTGTTGGCAACAGGACGTGTGCTCGTGTTCACCCACTGGCTATGACACATCGACTGTCGTGACCGCATGTATGTGTCCACGGTGTTTTTGCGTGCATGTGTACCTGTGGCTGTCGACGACAGGTGTACGAGGTGAAGAAGAGCAAGTCGGGCTTCTTCCTGCACCCTCTCCCATACATATCACGTACGCAACACTTGCACGCGCATGCATGCACCCACAATCACACACGCACACACACACACCCAACGCATGTCTCATCTCATTGCGCACCCGTACGGCTGAGTGTTTACCGCCCATGCTATCACACCCACGCACATGCCCATCCACTCACGCTCGTATCCATCCATCTCCCCGGCACACTTGATGCACGCCACCCAATCAATGCAATCACGTCACGTGACCCCACCATTCCGTTGCCAGCGAATTCGGATGTGCTGTCGCTGTCTGTTCTCCGGGACACGTCTGGCCTGTTCTCCCTCTACAGCCGCGAGCAGCTGCAGATGAACGCCTCTGTCCGCACCACCACCGCCCAAGGTGGTAATCTCGCTTTGTGTGTTTGTGTGTGTGTGTGTGTGTGTGTGTGTGTCTGTCTGTCTGTGTGTCTGTCTGTGTATGTGTGTGTGTGTGTGTGTCTGTGCGTGTGTCTGTGTGTGTCTGTGTGTGTCTGTGTGTGTCTGTGTGTGTCTGTGTTTGTGTGCGTGGAGTCAATGGGACGTGTTGAGTTTATTGCACGATGAAAGTCGTTCACACGACCATATACACCCGCCACGCATACACAACCCCCCCCCACCCACACACACACATTTCTGTCACTCATGCAACAGTATGCTCACCTATTCTTCTCCTCCCCCCTCTCAACATACACACACAACATCACACAATCTACCCGTGTCTTCAGCCGCCGGGGGAAAGGGCGTGCCTGCTAGCAATGCCACGCACGCCAACAGCAATGGCGACAAAGGCAGTGGTGACGGCGATAAACATGATGGCAGTGATGACGATGATGATGACAACCTGTACAGTGCTGACGTTGACGCGAAACCGGCATCCCCAATGCATCCGGACAACACAACCACGACAACACAGGTCTTGGCACCATGCATTGACGAGGTCGAGGTGCATTCACGCGCACTTGAGTGCATGTGTGCGTGCGTGTATGTGCGTATGCTGCGGCTCTGCTTCACGCTTTCACCATGATCCCCTCCTTGACCACCACCACCACCACCACCACCACCACCACAACAACAACAACAACTTAAACAACAACTTAAACAACAACTTAAACAACAACAACCACAACAACAGGCGACCGCGACTGCGACTGCTTCGGCTGCGAATGGCGACGATGATGATGAGGTTCACATTCGCGCAGTGCACGAGCCCTCATATTGGCTATTCACCTGCGACAAGAACGGCGTTCTCTCCATCTTCCAGGTGCGTGTTAGTGGTTGTGTGTATGATAGCAGATGATTGTTCGTGTGTGCGCGTTCGTGCGTGTGCATGTGTATGTGCATGACTGAGTGTGATCACTTATTCGTGCATTTTTTCGGATGCGTGGCAAGTGCTCGGCTTACACGTCTGCATGACGCGCGGTATCTGCCTTCGTTCTTGCCAACACCTCACCCCCCCCCCCCTCGACGCGTGTGTTTGCAGGTGCCGGATATGCGGGAGGTATTCTGCTGCACGGTCTTCTCTGTCCTTCCAAACGTCGCCTGGGACTCGGTGGGTTTGCTCCCGCATACGTGCGTCCGTTTGGACAGCAGATCGTGGTTGTGGGCGCTGCTGCGACACATTGCTGCTGCCCGCCTGGTCGCTCCTCGCATCTCTAAACACCACACACACACACTCACTCACTCACTCACTCACTCACTCACTCACACTCACTCATTCACTCACACACACACTCACTCACTCACTCACACACTCACACTCACTCATTCACTCGCACACACACTCACTCACACCGCTCAGGTGTATCGGAAAGAGATTGGACCCGTTGAATTGGAGCCTGAAATGCCGCTGAAGCGCGCCAAAACCATGGACGAGAAAGGACAGTCCGTTTTTGTTGAAGCGGACGAGGAAGCGGACGATGAGTCCGGTAGTGCACAGGCGGAGGAGGACGAGCAGGACCGATTGCAGCGCAAGGAGATGACGATTGTTGAGCTGCTGGCCATTGGTCTGGGCCGCGGATCAAGGCCGCACCTCTTCCTCAGAAACGTACGATCTCACGCGCTGCACGCAGAGTATGGAGAGGGGAAAGACGGGGGAGGGCGTGCATTTTGCAGTGGCGTTTCCGTGTGCGTGTGGTTGTTGCGTTTGCGTTTGCGCGCGCGCGCGCGTGTGTGCGTGCATTTGCAAGCGTGTGTGTGTGTGTGTGTGTGTGTGTGTGTGTGTGTGTGTGTGTGTGTGTGTGTGTGATTTGTGCGTGCAAGCACGTGTATTGTGATTACCGGTTCTGCGACGCTCACGTGCCCACTGGACAACGCCAACAGGAAACCCAGCACGTGATTGTATACGAGATTTTCACCTCCAGCTACAAACGCCATGAAAAGGTGAGAGCCCACCCGTGCATGTGTTTGTGACATGCTATTGCAACCGTTTGCACCTGTGCTCTCGCTGCACTCGCGCTGTAATCATCGCTCCCTCAACCAATCCCAATCCTCACCACCACCACGACCGCCACCACCAACACAATGATGAACCATCGCTGCATCAGTATGAAGGGCGATTGCAGATCCGCCTGCGGAAAAGGCACCAGCACCCGACATGGATTGACGAGCGCTTGGCCCAGTCGTCATCGGTAAGGCACGCCGCTGCTCTACTGTTCTGCTGGGAAACCTGAGAGGGGATTGGTTCAGTGGAGTTACTGTTGTTGTTGTTGTTGTTGTTGTTGTTGTTGTTGTTGTTGTTGTTGTTGTTGTTGTTTAGTTGTTGTTGTTGTTGTTTAGTTGTTGTTGTTGTTGTTTAGTTGTTGTTGTTGTTGTTTAGTTGTTGTTGTTGTTGTTTAGTTGTTGTTGTTGTTGTTGTTGTTGTTGTTGTTGTTGTTTAAGTTGTTGTTGTTGTTGTTTAAGTTGTTGTTGTTTAAGTTGTTGTTGTTGTTGTTGTTGTTTAAGTTGTTGTTGTTTAAGTTGTTGTTGTTGTTGTTGTTGTTGTTGTTGTTGTTGTTGTTGTTGTTGTTGTTGTTGTTGTTGTTGTTGTTGTTGTTGTTGTTGTTGTTTAAGCCGCCATTGTCGTTGTCGCTCCACCTTAGGTGGTCTCGCACTCGAGTTGCGCTGTGATTGCACACGCGTGACTGGTGCACGCTTTGTGCATAGCGGGTGTACTCGCCTTGCCCCACCTCATGCCCTCCCCCGTAACCACCACCACCATCAATATTGTGGCGAGCAGATACCGCCTGCTGCGTTCCGGCCGTTTGCGGACATCAGCGGGTGCGATGGCGTCTTCGTCTGCGCTCGCCGCCCGTCATGGTTCATGTGCGACCACACACACAAGGTCGGAGCCAATCCTCCTCCCGCGTTCGTCTGTGTGCCTGTCTGTATGCGTGTGTCTGTGTTTTTGTTTGTTTGTGGTGTGTTTAGGTGTTTGCGTTTGCTTGTGGTGTGGTGTGGTGTGTATGTGCAGAGGGAAAGGCAGTACGATTGTTGCATCAAGCGCTCACGACACATGTGCTTCGCCATCGACCACTGCTTTGGGTATGATGGACGTTAGGTGGTGCGGCACCACGCGATGCGGTTTGACGGCGCTGTGCAGTGCTTCACACAGCTCAAGCACGCCATGCACACCAGCTGCTTCCTCTACTTCACGGGCAAGGTGTGCATGCATGCTCGTTGCATCTCACCCTCGTATCAGTTGTGCGAACCAGTGTCAATATCAAGCTGCACACATGCACACGCACACACACACACACACACACACACACACACACACACAGGCATTCAACGTTCACCACCAACAGACAGATAGATTGAAGCTTCTTCATGCACGCTGCCTGCATCCTCGCCTTGTTCACCAACGCCATCACTCACCATCACTCACCATCACTCACCATCACTCACCATCACTCACCATCACTCACCATCACCCAACGTCACTCACCACCACCTCCTCTACCACGTCCCAGGGCGTGATGCGGATGGCAACGACAGCGGCGGGGCAGGTGCTCTCAACGCCACTACCATCGCGGCGCACCCCAATCAAGGCGTCGGCGTGCTATGTCGACTTTGACCCGGAGAGCGGCGTGTATGTCGTCGTGCTCAAGCACAAGGTGCGGGCTTGACAGCAGAAAGGGTGCATATGTACATACACGCACCCTAATGCGCATACACATGCGCAGACTCATGCACGCACACGCACATACTCCATCAATGCCACTCCCCGCTGGGAATGATTTGCTGTCACACGATAACACTTGGGTGCACCAAACCTCCTCCACACAATTGCGCACGCCGTGCTCCGCGTATTGCTCCACTTATACTGGCACTGTCTGCTGTCTGTACAATGTCACTACCAATATGTGTGTGCGTGTGTGGGTTCATGTGCGTATATGTATGTGTGTGCGCGCGCACAGGAGCCGTGTGCACATCTGCCCAAGTTTGGACCCCCAATGGAGGAGGCACCAGCGGTAGACATGAAGTTTGGTAAGGTGGCGTGCTGACATCACGCATGCCAACACGCATCCCACTCACACGCACGTATTGTTGCTGTGCACTGTTGACCCCTCCCCATTCACCAAACAGTGAATATGACCGCCCATTCATCCACTTGAAAACACACGCACGCACACGCACACACACACACGTGCAATGGCTGCCAGCGTCTGATGAGCCGTTGCCGCAGCGTGAACGGTATTCCATCTGCCTCTTCTCCTGCGAGGACTGGCAGCTCGTCCCAAACAGCCCGTACGAAGCAAATCGCACGTGTTCACGCACGTGCCGCATGTTGTTATGTTCGTGTGTGTGTGTGTGTGTGTGCTTTACCTCTGTCTCTGTGTGCAAATGTGTGTGCGTGGTGTGGGTTGTCTCTATATCTTCGTACGTGTGTGTTTGTGTATGTGTTTGTGTGGCGGTGCCGTATGGTGCGCGTTCGGGAATCTGTGCACCTCATACGGTCTGCCCTACTGCGTGCGATGACGCTGTTCAGGGTTGAGATACCGGCAGACCACCACGTGACGGCGTTCAAGGTCATCAACATTTCTTCGGAGCGCCATCTCACGGGGAAGAAGGTTGGTCGCCACCCTTCTGCGCCGCTGCCACTGCCACGACTGTTACCGTCACTGCTGCTGCTGCTGCTGCTGCTGCTGCTGCTGCGCTTCTTCCGATATGATTCGACTGCCCTATTCCCATGTTTCTCATCACGGTGATCATCGCCGTCATCACCACCCCCGTCACCATCACCATCACTGCAACTTGTCGCCCCAGCCGTGCGTGGCTGTTGGCACCACCCCCGTTCTCGGCGAACGAAACCTGGAACGCGGCCTGGTCAGTCACGCTTGCATGTGTGTGTGTGTGTGTGTGTTTTCTTGTGTGTGTGTTCTTGTGTGTGTGTGTGTGTGTGTTCCTCTGTGTGTGTGCGCGCGTTTGTGTGTTCCTCTGTGCGTGAATGTTCCTCGATGTGTGTGTGTTTATCTTCCTCTGTGTGTGTGTGAGTACCAGCGTGCTTTGTTATGTGGTTGTCCGCTGTTGACTTTGCCCTGTAGCTCAATCTCGCTCCACTCCATCGCCTCCACCACCACCCTTCTCTCCCTCCCTCCTCTCTCTGTATGACAGCTGCAACTCTACGACGTGCTTGAGGTTGTTCCAGAGCCGGGCAAGCCAACAACGAAAAACAGGCTCAAGGTGAGCTGCCTCAGTCATGCACATCATGTACAAGCACACGCACAATTGTCAAACATGCACATGCACACCTGCACTCCGATGATGGTATGTCCCACTCAGCAAACCACACGCATATGCTCACACACGCATGCACACACACACACACACATGTATACATACATACACACCTGGTGTGCGCAGCTGATGCTGAGTTCTGATGAGACGGGTGCTGTGACTGCGCTCAACTCGATCGAGGGTTATGTCATCGGTGCCCTTGCTCGCCGCGACGGCCCAAAGGTGCAGCATGCATGCAAGCATCACCCGTGATCCCGTTTCTGGTTCCATGCTTACTATGTGTGAATGTGCCTGCGTGTGTATGTGCTTGTGTGTGTGTGTGCGTGTGTGTGTATGTGCCCTGCCTCTTCTTCGGCGTCTGACAGCGCGTGCGTGTGTCCCCCAGATCTTTGTGTGGCGCGTGGAGGACGATGAGAAGTTGCAGCCCATCGCGTTCCTCGAGGGATCGGTGCGTGTGTGTGTGTGTGTGTGTTTGCTTGTGTTTGTGTGTGTCTGTCTGTCTGTGAATGCGCCTGTCTGTGTGTGTATGTGTGTGTGTGTGTCTATCTGTCTGTCTGTCTATCTGTCTGTCTGTGTATGTGCCCTCGACACCCTAACTCTTCATTACCACTCCTCGCTCACAACACGTGCATGATCCGCCCATGTGCAGATGTTCACTGTGACGCTAAAGGTGGCACTCAACTTTGTGATCATCGGTGATTACATGGGCCGCGTCATGCTTGCTCGCCTCATCAAGGTGCCGTGCCATGCTGCACACTTGATGTATGTATGTATGTATGTATGTATGTATGTATGTATGTATGTATGTATGTATGTATGTATGTATGTATGTATGTATGTATGTATGTATGTATGTATGTGCGTGCGAGGCCGTTCAACCTATGTCATCTCATCCACCATTGTCACGGCTGTCATCACCACTACTACCACTGCTGTTCCAGGATGAGACGCTGAAGATTCTGAATCTGAGCAAAGGCACAACGAGCCAGGCGCTGCTGCAAGTTGGCCGCGACGTCGCTCCAACCAGGTGTGTATGCAGTGGTGCAGCAAGGCAGGCACAGAGAGAGAGAGAGAGAGAACGTCTGTGTGCTTGTACTGCTGTCACATTGCACGCCACGTGCGCTTCCGGATGTACACTCACTCACTCACTCACTCACTCACTCACTCACTCACTCACACACTCACTCACACACACACTCTCTCTCTCACATTCTCTCTCTCTCACTCACTCACTCACTCACTCACTCACTCACTCACTCTCACACACACACACTCACACTCCTACTCACCGCACACCGCCTGCCCTGGCTTGTGTCGTGCATGTGGGCTCTTGCATTTGCAGCGTGTATGCGGCAGACTTTATTGTTCGCGGTGCTGAGTTGCACGTGCTTTTCCTCGATCAGCATGCAAACATGACCATCCTCGCATTTGACAGCGATGGTGCGCCCCTACAGCCGGTGCTCGCGGCGCTGCCGTGCATCTGTATCCCTTCTTTGCAATTGCCAACACCGTGTTTCTGCCGTCGTGTCGCTCCTCGTGCCCTTTCCTCGACCATCGTGGTGTCGCGGCCTCGGTCTTCCACCCCAGCACTCACATACTCACACTCTCACACATACACAAATGCTCACACTCTCACACATACACAAATGCACGTACATGCACACACACACACACACAAACATCGATGCATACACACACACACGTATACACACATGCACGCACATACATACGCACCCGGCCATGGATCCTCCTCTGCCTCGAACCCGTGCCCTGCATTGGCCTCGCTGGCCGTTGGCTGGTGGCGCAGACCCCACAACGCGTGGAGGGCGGATCTTGAAGCGGCACTCCGTGTACAACACGGGCCACCAGCGCATCGTCGCGCTCACCCGCTTGCAGTACGTGCTTGCCTGGCCTTGCCTGCCGTGGCTGTGCGTGCTGTTGTCTTCTCGGGCGTGATGACACTTGTGGAGGGAGGAGGGGGTCGTGCCGATTGTCCGGCGTGGCCGAGTGGACTACCAACCCGCATGTGCGAGCACACATGTGCTGTTACCGACGCCTGTGCGTCCGCGCATTCCTGTGTTCAATCTGGCGTCGAACCATACGCATCACCTTTTCCTCTTGTTGCACACACACACACACACATACACATGCACATGCACATGCACATGCGCGCACACACTCATGCGCACACACTCATGCACATGCGCACACACTCATACACACACACATGCACATGCACTCGTTTATGACACTTGCAGGAACGTGCCGCCAAGGAACAGCCGCAACGCAACCGTTGATGCCCACTTCCTCACATATCGTACGAGATACAGCAGCCGCCATTGCTGCCGGTGTGCACAGGCCAACGCAGCGCTTGTGTGTGATTGATTGTCGTTGCTCTCCTCTTCCCTCTCTCCTCCTTGGCTGTGTTCTCACACATCTCCTTGTATCTGCGTTTCTGCGTTTGGTTTTGGTTCACCACAGAGACGCTTGAGGGCGGTGCAGGGTACATCACGTCCATACCAGAGGTCGGGCAATTGGTTTGACACGCTCCTGCTGTTGGGGTGGTTGCATGCCGCGTGTGAACTGCGCTTCCACACGGTGGGTTTGTTGAGTTGCATACACACTCACACGCCTTCACTCTTCGTGTGCTCCGTGCATGAACACAACAACAGGATATTTTCAGGCGGCTGATGCTGCTACAGTTGCGACTGCTGCCCCACCTCAAGTTCCGCGCTGGCCTCCATCCAAGCGCCTTCAAGTGTGTGTGTGTGTGCGTGTACATGTGTTGTGCGTGTACGTGTGTGTGTGTGTGTGCGTGCATGTGTTGTGCGTGTGCGTGTGCGTGCATGTGCTGTTTGCTTGCTGGAAGCCCGCCGCTGCTCGCTGCTGTTGTGTGTGCTCTAACGAGCCAGGATCAACTGCACCTCTGCATGTGCTGCTTTGCAAAACAGGAAATACAAGAGTGCGTCGCTGCATATGGTGCACCAGGAAGTGCGGACTATTTGCGCAGACGTCTACACGCGCTTGTTCATGCTTGATCTTGACGCGCAGGTTCGTGACGGCTCAGCTGCTGCTGGTGCCACTGCTGCGCCTGCATGGGTTCAGACACATTGCGTGACTGCCTTGCTATGCACGGTTCCCCACAGCCACTCATCTCTGTTTCTCATCAACACGGCTTGCACTGTGTACTTGCCATGGACGGTTGCTTGTGCAGAAGGAGGTGGCACGGCAGGTGGGAACAACCACCAAACAGCTGTGTGACGACTTTCTCTTTATCGAGGACTCTGTAGCGTGGTTCTAGCTGCCAGCCGCTGTCTTCTCTCGCGTGCTCGTCTGCGTGTGTGTGTGTGTGTGTGTGTGTGTGTGTGTCGTGTTGTGTTTTCGTGAGTGAGATGAGTACGCAATGACCACAGTGGAATCATCCACGCCATGACTCTCACGTCTGAGATCAGGGGTTGTTGTGTTTACTCGTCATGACCGCGCAACAAACATACATTGCATTCATCATCCCGAACCCAACACACGCCCCTCTATATCAATCATTCTCGCACACACACTCACACACGCTTACAATCACACTCACATTCACAAACTCACACACACGCCCACACACACTCTCACACACACACACTCCCTCACACACACGCTCACATTCATACACTCACATACACGCTCACATAGAGAGAGAGAGAGAAACAAGGGGAGGAGAAGACGCACAATGCGATCTCATGATTCAGCACACTCATATCAAGCAACCACAGTTTTCCCATCAAGTCAATGGCGCAGAGATCTAAGATGACAACAAAACTGTCACGCACAGCATCGACGCCAGCGAAGTTGTGACGGTGACGGTGCACATCGCCATCTTTGCATGGTGCTATGGCCTGGCGTGCCCACAAGTGGCTATGAACCAGGGGGCTGCTGTTCGTCCATATCTTGCAGCCAGTATTGGTGTTGGTGGTGCTGGTGCTGCTGTGCTGGTGGCGGTGGCAGCAGGCTGAGATTGTGTCCCGGCAAGTGCACAGGCGGCAACATGGCTTGAGGTTGATCGTCCCCCTGCTGGTGCTGGTGCTGCTGGTGCTGCTGGTGCTGCTGTGCTGGTGGCGGTGGCGGTGGCAGCAGGCTGAGATTGTGTCCCGGCAAGTGCACAGGCGGCAACATGGCTTGAGGTTGCTCGTCCCTCTGCTGGTGCTGGTGCTGCTGGTGCTGCTGGTGCTGCTGGTGCTGGAGCTGGTGTTGCTGGTGCTGCTGTGCTGGTGGCGGTGGCGGTGGCAGCAGGCTGAGATTGTGTCCCGGCAAGTGCACAGGTGGCAACATGGCTTGAGGTTGATCGTCCCCCTGCTGGTGCTGGTGTTGCTGGTGCTGCTGGTGCTGCTGTGCTGGTGGCGGTGGCGGTGGCAGCAGGCTGAGATTGTGTCCTGGCAAGTGCACAGGCGGCAAGATGATTTGAGGTTGATCGTCCCCCTGCTGGTGTTGCTGCTGCTGGTGTTGCTGCTGCTGGTGCTGGTGCTGCTGGTGCTGTGCTGTTGGTTGACGCAAACCTTGAGCCTGCTGCTGTACCTGTGCTTGTGCCTGGTGCGGTGACGGCGCTGCTGGCTGCCGTGTTGCTGGTGCTGTCGGTGGCGGTGATACGAAGCGCACCCGTGCCTCGTGAAACTGGTTCAGCATCTGCCGCTGATGTCTGGTCAGCACGATGTTGCTGCTGACCAACATCTCGATATGGGAGGGAGCACCTGGCCCGTTGAAAGCTCGCAAACGTCGCACGTCCGCCAAAGCTTCCATCTGCACGGTATGTGCAGAGCGTAGCCATGCGTAGATGGATCCAAAGTGAACTTTCCGGCAGCGAAACAGTTCCAAACAGTGCAGCCTAAGGGCAGGGGCCTGTGCCGCCTCATCACGGCGCATGCTGTCGCTCACCGCTGCTGTCTGGAGTTCCTCTGACGGCTCGTCACCATCACCGTCCACGTCCACCACACGTGGCTGCCCAAGCGCCAGCGTTTCCAAGTCTGGACAGTTGCTGAGGAGCATTGTCGCGCCTGCTGCCCATATCCGGCCGATTGCTGTGAACTTCTCGAGGCGGGTGCACGTGACGAGCCGAATGAACTCGATGGGGCGCGCAGCTCTCTCGCGTCGGCCACGATCGCGTTCATTGCCGTCCAGTATGAGGCCGAGAAAGTGATGCGTGTCAATCTTCACCGTTGTGGCGTACGGCAGAATCAGAGTGACTGGAACGTCACAGGTCATGATTTCAATGCGCGAGCAATTCAGGCGAAGCTCATCGGGTTCTGTCTCGTTGTGATAAAATTGAGGCCCGATAAGCCGCACGTCGTCAACATCACGAAGTGCTGACAGCTCAACAAAACTGACGTTGTTGAGCAGCACGGTGCTTACATTTGAGAACCGCAGTGGCTGGAGGCTGACTGGCACCTCCATGTCTGCTTCTGAGGCCGCTGCCAGGACATCAATGCGACGAACAGCCGCGAATGGCTGAAGAAGCGTGTCTCGCAGATCGGGGCGGCGGACGAGGTTGTTGACAAGCAGCTCAACATGCTGCACGTCTTCAAGTTCAACCGATGCATCCTCTTGCTGCAGATCCGCGGTGATGTACATTGGCGGCGGTTGCTGTTGCTGCTGTTGCTGTTGCTGCTGCTGCTGCTGCTGCTGTTGCTGTTGTTGCTGCTGCTGTTGTTGCTGCTGCTGTTGGTGGTGTTGCTGATACCTTTGCTGCACCTGTTGCACCTGATCCAAATCAAGCCTTACGAAGCGCTGCTGGTAGTGCATGGGCCACACGACGCGTCGAATGTTCGACAGACGTATGTGACGAACAGGCTCGGCGGTGTGAAGGTGGAGGGTATCCATGCCTGCCAACGCCAGGGGCTGCACAAACTCAGGCACGACGTGGAGGTCGTCCGGTGGAGCAGGCACTTGGGGCAACAGCTCCTGGGCTTCAATGGAGACGTGAAGGTGCACCACAGCGTCTCTCAAGTGTGGCACATTGTGCAGTTGCGGCGAGATGGCAGTGGTGGCGGCAGCAGTGGCGTGCGTCACCACCACAGGAGGAAAGTACACCACGCCGGGCCAAGGCAGAGCTTGGGCCTGCTGCAGCTGCCGTCGCTCGTGCCAGTCCACGATGCCGCGCAGGTCAAAGCTGACGCGGACAAAGCGGGAAAACCGCTGACTGAAGTCCTCGGAGAAGGGCAACCGCAGCACGGGGTGGTCGCTCCTCCAGCTGATGCCCAGCCATGAGAGTGTGAGAACCCGCTCCTGCACAAAGGCTCGCACCAGCTCTTGCCTGGTCTCCTCTGGCACGCCCTGCCACATGGGCCCTGAACGTGGCATGTCAAAGAAGTCGGGCACGCTCAGAAGCACGCCTTCTCCAAGAGAGTGAAGGGCAGGCAAGAGACACCACTTTGCCATGTTGTAGGCCAGGTCGTTGAACATGGCGCGGTTCAAGTGGAGGATTTGAACCGTGCCGTACACGGCTGTCCAAGCTGCGTCTGTGGTGAAGTGCCCACCAGCCGGAGGCTGGACCACGTACTCGATGACCGGCAGCCAGGCCGCAATCGTATTCTGCGCATTCATTGGTGCTGTTGGTGTTGCTGGAGGTGCCGGCGCTTGTGCTGCTAACGATGGTATCGTGGAGGACGCAGGAGGCGAGGTGTGTCGAAGAGCAGGCGTGCTCGCGTGTTGCGTGTGGGCTGTGCGCGATGACCCGCTGTGTGTCGAGCAGTCAATCGGGAAGAAGAGCTGACTTGGGGCCACTGCAGGGAGGGAGTCGCCGCTTGCGCTGGTGGCGTGGAGGTCGTAGCAGACGTGCTCGCGTGTTGCGCGTGGGCTGTGCGCGATGACCCGCTGTGTGTCGAGGAGTCAATCGGGAAGAAGAGCTGACTTGGGGCCACTGCAGGGAGGGAGTCGCCGCTTGCGCTGGTGGCGTGGAGGTCGTAGCAGACGTGCTCGCGTGTTGCGCGTGGGCTGTGCGCGATGACCCGCTGTGTGTCGAGGAGTCAATCGGGAAGAAGAGCTGACTTGGGGCCACTGCAGGGAGGGAGTCGCCGCTTGCGCTGGTGGCGTTTTACTGGCCTAGTTGGTATTGGTGACGCTACTGGCCCTGCGGAGGTGAAGATGTGGGGATGAGGTGGACGCGGAGGTGTATGGGGGTGTGGTGGACACGGCGATGTGGACGTGTCGATGCGTCGAGTTGTATGGGAGATGTTGAGCCAAGAGATGATGCAACGGATGCGAGAGATATGCAAAGGAGAAAATAAGCCGTTGTGTACTCACACACTCTCTCAAACAACACGCGAGTGACTGTGGCTGTTGCGGGTGACTGTGACGGCACAGGTTGCACGCTGCAGTTTTGGCGCGGGTACTTGTGTTGACAAGGGTCAAAGGGTGGTGGGTCAGTGAATTGTTGTTTGTGATGACAACCATGGAAGTGTCATCAGTCGTCACAGCAGACCCAGGACGTACCACCCAAAAAAGTGTCGAGTCAGCGGTTTTCTAGCCGCTGGCGTGTGCCACTTCCTCCACACGTTCGCGTGCTCAGAAGCCAACAAGCAACCAACAAGCCAAGAAGGCAGCAAGAAGCCAGCAAGAAGCCAACAAGTCAACAAGCCAACAAGCCAGGAACCCAACAACCCAACAGCAGCACTCGCAAGCAAAAGCACACACACACACACGCACACGCACTCTCTCTCTCTTCCTCTCTCTTTCTCTTACACACACAACACACTCCACAGCGCTCGCACACGCATATCCACGCCACACAAACGCACGCACGCACAAGCAGAGCTCACGCACACAAGTCCACCTTAGCTGCCATCAACAATGACGACATTCAGCTGCTCACAATGGGCACTTATTGCGGAGCGTCTACTCCCATTGGACAGGCTTCAACGCCAGGCCATTGACAAAGACCTGCACCTTGTCCATGTCGCCGGGCCACGGAGACGCGCCACGCCCGAAATACGCGCTGAGCGTGACAGCATTCGCGGCTTCCTCAGGCTCATGATGACCTGCCGCGAGCTGTACCACGACCTCCCCTTCGCCGTGCCCAAGTGGTGCCTCAGTGACAACTTCAAGTTCATCTTTCGGTGTCATGGCGTGATAGACTGGCCACCTGAGTTTGCCAAGGATTCGGGGCTCCCGCACGAGCAAGCATGGCTAGACGACCGGTTCCTCGCTCTGTCGTGGCTTGGCGTAAACTGGAGCAAGTCTTGCTGTGTATTCGAACGGACCAAGTTCCACTCCTGCTTCAGAGCCAAGGCCCAGACCTGCGTCAAAGTGCTGACTTACTCGCCCGTTGGATTACTTCACGAATACGCCCAAGCGTTCAAGAGAGACGCGAACACTGCCCGCAGCAGGAGCGGAACCGCCACAAGCGTCACGTCTGCGCTAGCAGCCGACCCCTCGTCATCAACAACAACGACAACAGTGGCAACACCAACTACAACGGCAGCCACAGCGACTGCAGGAGCGGAAGCAACAACAACTACGGCAACAGCAGCAACCGTTCGCAGCACTCGCAGAATCCACACGCCTCCACGTGCAGCACTGCTTCAACTGTGCATCACCATTGAGAGCATGGTTGAACTGACACAGTTCATGCAGCTTCTCATGGACATGCAACGCTGCGCCGTTCGCATCATGTGCAAGGTTAAGATCCAGTTCAGGTCAGGCCACCCCACAACTATTCGAGACCTGTCGTTCTTTGACCTGCACCACATTACCCTCCACTCCAGCGACGTTGAGCTGGTGAACGTGCGGTTTTACGGTGTGCACGAGGTACAGTGGTTTGCATGCGGGCATCAGCGACTTGACACCGTTGAGTTTGTTCGCGCGCACAAGGTGCTGCTGAGCCAGCCCCCAACCACAGGCATCCCCGTCAACACGGAGGCGCTCCGCGGGGTGCCATATGTTGTGCTGTGGGGAGTGGTGCCGAGCGATCTTGGGCCACTGCGAAGAGCGACAGGCGTCAGCTTGCGCGACACGTACGCTCACGACGTACCCTCGCTACGTGATGTGCGCATACTCGCCCTGGACAAATGCCAGCTGGACGAGCTTCCGGCACTCACGCTGAACAGCGAGGTCGTTTTGCTGACCGACCAAAACCACATCGGTGCACTCACGCTGCCCGCTGCTTCTCGCGTTCGGGTGGACAGGTGTCCCCTGCGCGCCATTACCGTTGGGCAACAGGCGCCGTCACTAGGACCAGACAGCACCCGCACCCACCGCCTCCCAAACCAGCATCCGGGCACTATTCACGTGACTGACGTGCACATCAGCAACTGCCAACTCCTCGAGAGCCTCACCGTGCACGACAACGGCAGCACCACATCCAACCGTGCTTGTCAAGTCTACATCGCAGGCGCATCAGCGCTGCGGCGCCTCAAGCTGATGCCGCGGACCGAGCTGACAACAGCGGGGTGCGCGCAGTTCCCTCTTCAGTGCTTGCAGTCCACCCCCATGCATACGATGCGTCTTGCGGTGGCGAGCACACTGGCCAGGCTTCAGTCGCTGCCAGACGACGCGAATGTGCTCCTGGGCTGCTGTCAGGGGTGCGCCATCAGCGCTGGTGATGCAGCACTTCAACCTCGCTACGACACCAGCACCAACGTCAATACCACGACCAGCACCGCGCCGCCGTTCAGCGGGAGCACCGAAGCCGCCGGGTCTTCGGCTGCACGCGGCACCACTTCCACCAGAGCACAGCTGCCGCCGTGCGTGAAGCAGATCGACATGATGACGATCACTGGGCCCACCACGCCCGCACAGCTGCAAGCGTTTCATGCACAAGCATCCACAAACCCGTCTGTGGCGCACGGCGTCTACTACGAAGCCAACTTACTTTGGATCGGCGAGGAGCGTCCTGCGCGCGTTTGTGGTGATGCGAGCGAAGGCGCCAAGCTGACTGAGCCCGTTGCTGAGGTTGCAGACAACAACAGCACCGCCGATCGCCCCAGCGTTTTGAATGCGGAGTCGCTGAGCAAGCTCAAGGAGAGGGCTCGTGCAGCCAGAGCAAGAGCAAGGACCGAGGCCCCACAAATGTACATCACCCGCAAAGGCCACAACAACCACATCAACCATGTAAGGTTTTACCATTCCAGGAACTACTTCTGCTACAACAACAACAATAACAGCAGCAGCAGCAGCACCAGCAGCACCGCCAGCAGCACCAGCTCCAGCACCAGCACCAACACTAGCACCAGCACCAGCACCAGCACCAGCAGTGCAGCTGCAACCACTTTGGCCCAGTTCGGTGGCATCTTTGCCGACAGCAGCAGCACAGTTGCAATACCGCCAGTGGTACCGATTCCTGATGACCCGATTGGACTGGAAGCTCTGCACGTCCCGGACAGCGGAAGCACGAGCAGCAGCACCAGCCCAAGCTCTTGGCTGGTGGACTTGCGGCCCAAGCACATGCACGACGGCCGCACCACCACCACCACCGCCAGCACCAGCACCACCACCACCACCACCGCCAGCACCAGCACCACCACCACCACCACCGCCAGCACCAGCACCACCACCACCACCAGCACCACCACCGCCAGCATCAGCAGCAGTAGCAGCGGTGGCATAGACCTGTTGCCTGGGTCTGATCCACTCGCGTCGCTGCCACGTGTGGATCCCCTTGCTCCGGACGCATGCAGCACGCTCGTATCAGAGATAGAGAGTGAGCGGAACAACGACGCTGCATGGGACGCCATGGTGGCGGTGCCTGAAGACAACGATTTGGCGATGCTGCTGCCACAGTGGAACATCGACGTGAATGCTGTTGACTCCATGGTGTTGGGCGATGACGGGATGGCGCCGCACACGATGCACGAGGCCGCCAGCTTGCACGAAGCCGTCAGCACCACCAGCAGCGACACACAGGGCTCGCCCCCGCCGGCCGGGCCTGCCTGTAGTCCTGTCCAGAAGACCTCAAAGGACACAGGCCTCGAGGCACTTGGCGACGAGCACGATGACACTGCAGTGCCCTCACTCGCCACCACCCCACACTGCGACAGTGCTGACGCTGGCAGTGGTGGCAATCTGCAAGTTACACGTGATGGTGGCGCCCTTGTGGCCAGCGATGACCGTGCCCGTGGCTGTGAGGGCCGTGGGGAGAAATGCGGTGAGGGCGATGCTGTAGGTGTTGAAGGCGAAGGAGTCCTGGGCAAGAGCGAGGCAGAGGATATGGCGAGCAGCCACAGCAACGTCGTATTTGTTGATGCCCAAGCCAGTGGAGCAGTGACATCCAAGCGCCCGAGATGGTACCGGCTGTTGACGCGGATGGTCCTGCGGAACGCACAGCTTGACCGGCAGTTTCGAGGGTTCGAGGCGTTCTCGCGCCTGGCCAGGGTCGAGCTTGTGTCCTGCACGCTCAACCATGCTGTCATCAGCAACATCGCCGACGTTGGCATCTACATGTGCACTGGCATCGCCTCCGTGCGCGGTGTGAAGAAGCTCGTCGCCAACAGCCTGCGCCTGACTTTCCAGAGCCTCGAGGACATTGCCGAGGCATACATCGTGGCCAGCTCAGAGACATACATTGGGCACACGGCCAACGTTGCCAAGTGCGATATTGACCTGCGTGGCCTGCGCAGGTTTTTGCAGAGGCAGACGAGAGAGACATTGCAGGTACCGCTGCTTGAGCGCGCGCGTGCGCTGGACGGCATCGCCTGCCTCCACCTCACGTGGTCCTACCTGAAAAAAGACCCAGACCGGCCCTACGACGCAGTGTTGCAGATGACAAAGCAGCGGTGGCCGAAGACGCTGCGCGAACGCTTTCTGTTGTACCGGCAGATTGTGCAGGATATGAAGGAAAAGCGCCAAGAGCACCCCCGCATGCTTGAATTGAGACTCGAGCGCACATAGTGGTGCGGACCGGCAGAGGCAGGGACACAAGGAGTGACATGAGGGGGCGGTCATGAAGTCGTGGGAGGCTGGTGGTTGGTGGTTGGTAGCTCAACAACGCCAAAAAGGGCTCGCAGACCAATGGCGACGGTGCGAGCGAGGACCCGCCACAGCTCTTGCTTTTGTGTGTGTGTGTGTGTGTGTGTGTGTGTGTGTGTGTGTGTGTGTGTGTGTGTGTGTGTGTGTGTGTGTGTGTGTGTCTGCGATTTGTTGGTGACTGAGATCAAAGCCGTTCTGTTTTGCTTCAGTTGCAAGAAAGCAAGGTTGAGGCTAGTATGTACATTCACATCGATATTCATTGCAAGTGTGTCAACATAAACAGCTTTGCTTGTCGCGGTGTTGCCACCACAACGTGCTCCGCCACCCGTTGCATTCGCACCTACAGTGGTGTGATATGACTAATGCTCTAATGCTGATCTGCCGTCTTCCACCTTCTTTTGCTCCAACATGCTTCAGAGTCCTCTTGCTTGAAGAGTGCAATGGAGAGTTGACAATTTTTTGGGTTGTTTGTTTCCACTACAACGTCAATTTTGACCTTGGCAGCCCAGAAGCAAGGTCAATTTTGCTTTTAGCGAACAAGACACAGACGCTGCTGTTGTTCGCTGCTGTGTTGTCGCAGTGAGTGCTGTAGGCGAGCGTGCTGCTGTCGCATCACATCACAAACAGCGTTCGAGATGAAAGCGCTAGCAGCCGTGGCAGTGGCTGTGCTGGTTGCGGTTGCAGTCGTGTCCAGGCCTGTTGCTGCAGACAAAGCTGTGACCAATCTCAATGACAAGAACTTCAACGAGTTTGTCAATGAGTATGAGGTGTGTGTTTGTGTGTTTGTGTTCGTGTGTGCGTGTACATGTACATGAATGTGTGTGTGCGTGTGTGCGTGCGTGTGCGTGTGTGTGTGTGTGTGTGCGCGCGTGTTTGCGTGTGCGTGTGCGGGGTCTTGCTGATGTCCGTGTGTGAGCTCGACAGTGCTTGCCTTTGCCATAACACCACAGCATTTTTCATCTCGGTTGTTTGAATTGCAGGTGGTGCTGGTGAACTTCTACGCCAACTGGTGTCGATTCAGTCAGATGTTGAAACCCATTTATGAGCAAGCGGCGTTGCTTCTCGGGGACAGCGTAAACGCACGCCTCGGTTCCGTCGACTGCGAATCTCCTGGTGTGCACCTCCGTGTGCACGTCGTGTGTTTGTTCTTGTGTGTACTCTTGTGTTTGTTCTTGTGTGTGTGCGTGTGCGTGTGCGTGTGTGCGTGTGCGTGTGTGCGTGTGCGTGTGCGTGTGCGTGTGTGTGAGTGTGTGTGCGTGCACAGTTATGTGTCTGTTGACATGAATTTCTATGCTTTGTCTACCATGGCATGTAGATGCGCAACAGCAAAAGACGCTGAACGCCATTTCCAAGTATCCGACCATCAAAGTGTACCGCAATGGCCGCGTAAGTGCCTCGGTGCCTTGCACCTGATGTTGTTCCTCTTGTACTCTGTCACACCCACACCCTTGTGCCCCCGTTCTCACCCCTGCCCTGACACCCTCAATCACATATTTGCGCTCATCCGTCCTTCCTCACGGCAGCCGCTCCGCCAAGAGTATCGCGGCCAGCGATCTGCTGTTGCCATTGAGAAGTTTGTTCGGGAACTGCTTGCACCACCTGTCACCCAGGCAACATCCGAGGACGACATCAAGAAGTTTGTGGAGGTGTGTGCATGTGTGTGTGTGTGTGTGTGTGTGTGTGTGTGTGTGTGTGTGTGTGTGTGTGTGTGTGTGTGTGTGTGTGTGTGTGTGTGTGTGTGTGCATTCGTGTGCATGTGCGTGCGTGTGGGTGCGCTTGCTTGCGTGCCTTCTTGGTCTTCACGAATTGCCCTTCTGAACTTCCGAAGCTCACGTCAAAGACCACGCTTATGCCCCGACACAAACAACACCAGAAACACCACAAGGCCGTTGTTGGCTACTTTCCCGCCAAAGACGCGGCCTCGTATCCTTCCTTTGAGCAGCTTGCTCAGCTTCTGCGTGACGACTGTCACTTTATCGCCAAGCTCGGGTATTTGCGTGTGTGTGTGTGTGTGTGTGTGTGTGTGTGTGTGTGTGTGTGCGTGTGTGTGTGTGTGTGTGTGTGTGTGTGTGTGTGTGTGTGTGTGCGTGTTGGCTTATCATGCGCAACAGTGCTGGAATGATCTGTTTTGCGGCTTGATTTGTTGTTCGTCCGTAAGACACTCACATGCGCTTTGATGCCAATGGCGCTGTTGGGGTTGTTCTTGTCTCGCGCATCGTGCAATCCACAGGGAGCAGCCGCGTCTGGTCATGAAAACGAAGGCGGTACGCAAGCCCTCAAGCCCCCACACGCACACACACACACAC